GCGGTTGAACGGTCCACGCGATGCTCTGGCCGTCCTCGACCTTGAGCCAGCGTACAATGTACGACTGTGTCTGCTGTCAGCTTTGGGTCTTGCGCGCGACGGCGACGCGGCGGAAGGGGTAGTGGGATGGCAAACCTTGCTGTGGACCTCGAGTTGCTCGTGGCCGGCCATTTCAGGTGCGCGTCGAAGGTCTGAGGCGAGATGCAAGAGGGCTGCAGAGGCGAGGCTCGAGGCAAAGGTGGAGGACGTGTTGTTTCTATTTGGTATGTCGCCCGGTTTCCAACACTAACAGCTTTCCATGGCGAGGGATCTGCGACAGATTGGTTGGAGGCGGGGTGCAGGGAATCGCGACGAAACAAGGTCAGACGTCGGGACCAGGAAGTTTAAACTGCGTGAGGCTGGCGCGCAGTAGGTATGGGAAGGGAGGCTTTAATTATGGCTTGACGTGGAGGTGAGATGCCGAGAGGTGCTGAGGTGAGCTTGGGCGGAGCTGGGCTCCCCAGCACACTATGAGGTACGTGCCTTGCCCGGCAGGTCTACATGGCACGGTACCTTAGGTAGGTACCTTACCCAGGTAGGGCATGCGCTAGGAACGGAGACACGTCACTGCTACAGGGGCACTCTGTGGCACTTTGAGGTCTTCATCACCTGCACCCGTGCCGACACCGACGCGAGGTGGTACCCAGGCGGCCTGCAAATACATTTCACAGCACAACGCCACAGCCCGCGCCCAGGCGAGGCAGCACAAGGTAGGTACCTAAGGTAGATACCTACCAAGGTACCTTAGGTAAGGTAAGGTAGGTACCTAAGGTATCTCGAAGTCGAAGAACCGTCCTGCCGCGGGTCCAGCGGCGCCCAGGAACGAGACAAGGCACGAGGCACCTACCGCGCGGCTTCCGCTATTTAGTGCGTGGCCTTCGGGATCGTACACGGTAGGCAGTCGGCGACGTTATCTTTAGAATCCGACAATGAAGGCAGACCTCTGCCGGTCTCCTCTCTGTCCTGGCCCCAAGACCCCGAGTCGGCGAGTCTTACCACTCCAGACCAATGCTCAAGCTACTCGTTCGAGTGGAGTTGTGGCCTTCTCAACAAGATGCCAAGATGCTGGGCTGGGCTCTTCCAACCACGGGGGGCTCGGACAATTCCCACCAGACTGTCATTTCATTTGAGGCCCAACACAGGAGATCCTGTGCAGGCAAGGACGGCTCGCACCAAGCTCGTAGCATCGCCGCGTGACCCTCCCGTGCCCCTTCCCGCCGTATCGCAGCATGCCCGTCTTCAGTCGACCGATCAATGGGGCCGCTTGGGCAAGAAGGCCAGGGGGGGAGAAGAACACGGTGACGATGCTGCGCCATGCCAGGACGATCGAGTGGAGGATGCCATGCCCAAGAGAATTGAGGTTCCTATTCACAGCAGCTGGCCGGCTTGACCTGTGCGCCGCTTCGGGTTTCCGTGTTCAGTCGTATCCTCGTCACACTTTGTCCTGTTCTCTCCATACCCACCTTGCTGCAAGTTGGTGCTTCTTGTCGGTTTCGTAGGGCGTCTTTTTCGTTTTGGGGTACTCGCGAAGTGAATCCGCCTTGGCCCCCACACCGATAGTCCACCATCGAATGCGAGTCTTCTTTGCAGGGCTAGCAGGGCCTTTAGGGATTCGCTAGTGCTACGTTGGCACAGGCCCTGATCGGGATATAGCGTCGAGGCTTGGCCTGTGGTGCTTAGGATGTTGATCAAGAGACAAGCAAGACAAGGTAAATGGCCTACCTATTCAATGAGTGCCTACTTAGTAGGGAGGGAGGGGAGGCCATGGATGAGCTGATGGGGGTTCTTCTCTGCTGTCATGGTGGGTGAATGCTTTCTCTCTCCTGAGAGGCACTGGTGGTACATGTGTGGCTGGCCGTTTTCCCCATCCGAGCCACACCCATACCCAATCTCCTCCTTTTTCATGCTATTCCTTATTTCCCCTCTGGACTTGGCCCCTTCATGAGTCGCGGATGGGACGCTGGAGCGTGCACCGTCGATTGTGTTTCTGGCGGCTAAGGCTGTTTTCAGGACATGGGGCCAGGTTCAGTGGGATGAAAGGCCATCCCGTCCTTTCCTGGAGGGCAACCCTTGAGGGCGTTTGTTTCCTGCGCCTGAAGATGCCGATCTTCTTGCTGAGAAGGGGGCGGCTGGGCGGTGGTCTTGGTCCTCTTCCTGTTCTGGTCTGCCTCGACTTGTGGGGAGCATTTGCTTCGCTGTCCGTAGGTA